ATGTGTTGTGAGATTAAGGAGTTTTCATCGTGTCTTCTGACTGCTAGTTGGTGTTCAGGGATGTGCTCTGCTAGTCTTCTACCTGTCTGTCCTACATAGTGGCTGTTACAGTCCTTACACTGTATGTTGATGACTCTACTGTATATAAACTACTATATATAACTCTACAGTATGACTCTACTGTACTGACTCTATTGTAGATAATAGATGACTCTACTGTACATATAGTATGTAGATGACTCTACTATAATTAGACTCTACATCTAATATATAGATAACTGTACTGTATATAAGCTACTGTATATAAACAGGGAGCCAACCCCACACTCACTCACACTGATGATGCTACCTAGTTGGGTAATGAAACATCTGCAAGCAAACCACCAAGCTCAGAGAGCACCAAGGACTCCATACTTCCTTACTGTTGCCAGGAAAATGATATTGATCTATCCATAAAGTTCCCAGGAGTTGAGCCTGACTCAAGAAAATCTTCCCTTCTACCAAAGACAAACAGATGTGGTTGCTTCCCATCCATCCCCACTCTATCCCCTACCCCGCCAGTGTATCATTAAATTTTTACAGCCACTTCCAACCAACGCATTGGGCTAGTTCCATGCACCATTTTTTATTTTCTAGGAATGCTGGAGAAGCTGGCCTGAGTGAGGAGATAGGCGGCTTTTCTCTTTGCAAAAATATCGAGTAATAATCTGCTGTACCTGATATCTGCTGCTTGGCAGCCGGGGGCTTGAGATGAAGCCACTGGTCTCCGGGTCAAACAACTCTGCCAGTTTCTGGAAGGAGAACCACTGAGAAGATCAGGAAAGGGGAGCCACAGGCAATATTATCAAGTTAAATTGGAAAAAAAAGATCCCAACATTATTGGGAGCAACGCCAAGTGATTAGACAACAGCCGTGTACTTAGAGCACAATGTACAATAATTGTGTATCTGTCACCCCAATATTACATTCTACAATATAATCTAAATGGGATACTGACTTGGTTCACCCATCAAATAAAGCCATGGTTTATTTAATAATCATTTATTGAATAAACAGGCTGAATTGAGCCCAAGTAGACCGCATGTGAAGTTGACCACGTCACAAGAGAAAAAGAGGAAGAGAAAGGCCATGTTTGTACAACACAAACACACAGTGACTATGATTCACTCAACCCCATTTTCTGGATATTTTTGGCTCACTGAGTGATACACTAACCACATAGTTGGGTTTGTTCAACACACTAATATAACATGTAGTTGGCTAGTTTGTGTTCACTGAAATGTGTCAATCCAGCTAGAAGGTGGTGGAAATGTTCACAAGATACCCCTATCTCCATACATTTTCTCAGGCTCACACACCTTCCATTCACAAAGACCCATGCTCCATTCACACAACCCACTGAATTACAAACCAGCCAACCACATTTTAGCCTAGCATGTGGTGAGAACTTATCCTACATGGTATATTTATGGCACAGCCCAAACTAGCCAAATTGCTTGGCTAGTTTATTGTTCACATATTGGGCCAATCCAGAAAACAGGATAATTCAGTAACCAGATTAAATATGTCATGTGAATGCAGCCAGTGGGTGACAACCTAATTAATTGCATAGACCACAATTCAGCTGATAGACTTCAGGCTGGGTTCCAGAAGGTCAGAATCCTTCATCTTGCAAAAGGAAGAGGAGAAATCTCACTCCTATATTCCACCAGTAGGAAAATGGCTAAGCAATGAAAATTACAATCATTAAAATTTTGTATTGCTGTCCTAATTATGTGCATTACCTTGGCACAAGCCCTATTCAGCTTTGTAGGGCTTCCTTCTTAGAAAACATGGAACTATTACCTGAATATTTCTATTCATCAATATTAGGACTGAAAGTTAATTCAGGCAAATGCATGAAGCATAGTTCCTACAAGATAATGGAGGAGGGAGGAATAATAAAAGCCATTCAATCTTAATTTAGCTGATTATGTTAACTTCAGCTCCCTGCAGACACAAGGATGATTGCCCATGATGGAAATCCTTACCTCTGGTTCTTCTTCCACAATGAAGTCAAAACTCTGGATTTCAGAAGCAAACAGCAACTGCAGCACCATGAAACAAGCAGCAAGAAACTTCATTTTTCCCCCTTCACCTTCCAGAGAACAGTGAAAATCTAATACGATCAGTTCCACACCATATGAACTGGTGATGGACTTTTTCTCTATAGATCCAAGTTCAAAGGAGTGTGAAGGTACGCTTGTATGGAAAGGCAGCAACAGACCCGCTTGGTTGTGTTGTGTTTTGCAGGCTCTTTAGAAATGCTAACCTTGTTTGGGCAAAAGCAAATATTTGCCTGGTAGCGCGGGGTGGGGGGCACAGGTGAGGGGCTGTGCAAACAGGGCCAAGTCTCTTGATAATGGCTTGCACGCTGGATAGGCTGGGCTTCCTGTTCCCCATTCCCCACCCCACTTGCTCTGACCTATAATGCTGGGCTGAACTGCATTTAAAGGCCACAAGAAGAGGACGATCTGGTGCAGGAGAAGAACAGGATACAAATGGAGCAACCCTGTGGATGAAAGAGGACAGTCTGGCAATACTGCAGAACCAGAATGGTGCAGAAGGTTCTGGATTAGGAGCAGGGAGACCCACGTTCTAGTCCCACCTTAGCCAGAGAAAGTCCCTGGGGGCTATGGGCCAACCCTTCCTTCTCAGACCAAGACCCAGGATGGTGTAGTGGTGAGGGTGCTGGATTAGAAGCAGGAAGACCTAAGTTCTAGTCCATCTTCAGCCATGGTTGCTCACTAGGTGATACGGGGCAGTTATTTCTCTCAGCCCAGCCTACTCATTGGGTTGTTGTTATGGAAGAAAATGGACTATGAACACTGCCTTGAATGCCTAGAAGAAAGGCAGGATATGAACTGAACAAACATCCATTACACTTGTTTTCCAATACATAGGAACCTGACTACTAATGGTATCTTAAAACCAGCTAGCCCAGTTTCTCCCAATGGTTGGAGGTAAGTTCTTCATTATGGCAGCAAGAAGTCAGCCCCAGTTCTGAGACTTGGTGATTGGCTTCCCATGTTACCCTAAACATGGCTTAATCATGGTTTATGGACTTCGCTTTGTGAGTCACTGAGGCTGGATTTATACGCCATATTATCCCCCAACTAACTTTAGACTTAGCTCAATGGTTGAAACCAACCAATAGGTGCATAGTTGTATGAACCGTGGCTTGGAAGCCATGGTTTATGGCAAGAGCAGAATATGGCCCCACCCCAGGGCCCAGGTTATGGCAATATCCCCAGAAGGGCAGGCGTGAAATGCTCATGCCAATATTTTTATTCAGTGTGTGGGGAATGTGATTTGTCACTCGAAATAAGTGGGTTCTGGCTTTATGGTTTAATATTATCTGCAAATCCAGCCCACTGTGAATTACTCAATAATGGTTAAGCAAACTCTGGCTTACAGCAATAGATGAATCAATAGATGGATCTTGCTCTTCAAGTATTTGGCACAAATAGAGCTGATTCCCTCCAAAGGCACCGAAGCAAAGCCCCTTCTTGTCAAAACTGCATTTGGCAAACGGAGCTGGAATTTGGACTCTAAACCTGCCCTTGATCTCCTCCCCTGCAGTTGGACTTTGCTGGAATGAAGCTGTTGCTGCCAACTGGTTATCTGCAGCTGAAGAGGGCATCCAAAGGACGCCCTGGACGTCTGCAATGGTTTAAAGCTAGGGCAGATACCTTCTCTCTCACTAGAAGAAACTGAGCTAACGTAGAAGGAGAGAAAATTGGCAAGGAAGGGCAGAATGTTGGAGGATAATGGATGGAGAAGATAACGGGAGCCTTGGACGATCTGATGGATCACAGGGAGTGCCTGACTCAGGACACACTCAGATAGTTGTGTTAAAGTGTTTTCTTCCAACCCATGAGCCAGGAGGAACTGATGCCAGCTTATTCTCAACTCCTCTTGTGGCCAACTCCTATTTGACTTCGTTGCAAGGTCAGTGAGCGGAGTGCCCTTCCCTTTTAATGCAGGAAAAGTTGAAGAGAGTGACTGGTGCACAGTCCTGCTTCGTCTCCTCTCCCACTAATTCCCTGCCAGTGGGATAAGCAACCACCAGTTGTTCTCTTTAATGTATGCTGGGGTAAGGAGGAGCATAGGTGGGTGCTTCGAATGGTGGGCTTAGACACCTATCAAGTTGCCAGGTGTCAAGTTGGGCTGGGGATGGGAAGAAGGCAATATCATGAGGACATGTGACATTAAAACAGGTAAGGGAGAGCTTGTTCAAACCATGGTTATGGAGATATGAGAATAAGCCTAAAACTGAGCCAATAAGGGTGCCATAAGTAGTTTCATTCATGGGCTGGGAATGAGATGAAAGTAATGTCATGGAGACACAACACAAGGTAGAGTTTACCAAAGCAAATTTGTACCATGGTTAGAAGCAGGTGGGGAGACCCCCAGAGAAGGGATGGAAGAGACACCTCATCTGTGTTTCCCTCAAGGGGTTGGTATCCCTGTCTATATACAGTATGTGGGTTCCAAAGACAATGGTTTGAATGTGTGCATGTTCTCAGACAGAACATTGGACTAAATATGTACAGTTGTTGTTGTTCAGTCATTAAGTTGTGTCCGACTCTTCGTGACCCCATGAACCATATCACGCCAGGCCTTC